TTTTTAAAATCAGTGTATCAGTATTATAAGAGCTGCCTTGTCCATCATGTCCACAAAGTGGAAAAAGATGTCAGAGCAAAAAGAGGGGCTCATTCTCTCTAGATGATATTTTTTTTGAAATGGGGTCTCACTGTCATCCAGGCTAGAGTATAGTGGCACAAACACCGCTCACTGCAGCCTTGACCTCTTGGGCTCAAGCAATCCTCCAGCCTTAGCCTCCCCAAGTAGATGGGACTACAGGTGTGCACCACCATACCCAGCTAATTATTTATTTTTTGTAGAGACGAGGTCTTACTATGCCGTCCAGGCTGCACAGGTGTGAACCACTGCACCCGGCCAAGAGAATTTTTATGCAAGGTAGTGTTGTGACTATGATTGTGGACCTTCCTGGATGGATAAAAGTATATTCATATTCATGTGCAAGGCCTTACATAATGACTGTCAAACTCATGCCCATGTTGATTTTATTCCATAATCTTGTATTATTGGTAGCAATTGTAGTACACATGTTCTAAAATAGACTGTAAGGCCCTCAAGATTTGTAAATATATTCATTATCTGTTTCACCTGTAGAGCTCAGCCAAATAAGACGCATAGAATTATCAAATATAAGTTAGGCTGGGCATGGTGGCCCATGCCTATAATCTCAACCCTTTGGGAGCTCGAGGAGGGTGAATCACTTGAAGCCAAGAGTTTGAGACCAGCCTGGCCAACATGGTGAAACCCCATCTCTACCAAAAACACAAAAAAATTAGCCAGGTGTGGTGGCACATGTGTGTGGTCCCAGCTACTCAGGAGGCTGAGGCATGAGAATTGCTTGAACCTGGGAGGTAGAGGTTACAGTGAGCCGAGATCATGCCACTGCACTCCATCCTGGGTGTCAGTGCAAGACTCTGTCTAAAAATTAAGGAAAAATGTTAGTTAAATCGGTTGAGAAGATGAACCTCCCTGTCTCCTGCTCTCTCCCCAGGTTCTAATAATAGTTCTCCTCAATGTAGCCATGATCTGAGACCTCATGAAATCTAGCAGTCATCGGTAGGTTTGTGCTGTTATGTAGTATGTTCCAGAGAATATTCTTCTTTCATTCTGATATTGAAAATGAATAGATTGGCCAGGCCATTTGATACACTCAACAACTAGTTTCTATTTTTTTTTTTTTTTTAAAGACTAGTCAAGTGCAGTAGTGAGAAGAGGGGAAAGAGAACAAGGAGTTCGAGCTGTAACTGACTGTGAACAATCAATTGAGATAACTCACTACCTTTGGACCAACCTCTATTTTTTTTTTTTTTTTAAAGACTAGTCAAGTGCAGTAGTGAGAAGAGGGGAAAGAGAACAAGGAGTTCGAGCTGTAACTGACTGTGAACAATCAATTGAGATAACTCACTACCTTTGGACCAACCTCTATTTTTTTTTTTTTTTGAGACAGGGTCTCACTCTGACATCCTCGGCTGGAGTGTAGTGGTATGATCACCGCACACTACAGCCTCAGCCTCCCTGGGCTCAAGCGATCCTCCCACTTCAGCCTCCTAAGTAGCTGAGACTACAGGCACATGTCACCACATTCAGCTCAACAACTCGTTTCTATTCTCCCCTCTTGTTTTTCTAAAGATACCTACTATACTTTGCTGACAGGAAATAAATCCATGTATCTGACATCATCACCATAAACTAACACTTGGTTGAGCCAAACTATCAGAGTCCTGAGACTAGGGATTTCTAGCAAAATTTCAGCCCCAAGGCAGAAGACTTCTCTGGAGGAAGATGCTAGCCCAAGAACATGTAACTAGACAAGGAAGGAGTAAAGTTAATTAAAGATATATGATTGTGGTTATTGTCTATTTTTGGTAATGTACTTCATGTTCCCTTTTTTTTTGCTAGTCATATGATATAGCCTTTTTCTTTCCCCTGGCTCTGGTCTCCAACACTCAGTTTAGCAAACCTTACCTGTGCCAACTGGAATAAACACTCTTTTTTAAAAAAAGTCCTTGGTCAATGGGCCACCTCCTAAATGATGACTCTCATGTTATTCACACCAAGGGTAGACTCACTCCTTGACTGCCAAATCCGAGCTTGTTTTTTTTGGAGACAGTGTCTTACTCTGTCAACCCAGGCTGGACTGCAGTGGTACAATTGCTCACTGCAGGCTCAAACTCCTTGGGCTCAGGAGATCCTCCTACCTCAGCCTCCCAAGTAGCTGGGACTACAGGCACACGCCATCACACCCAGCTAATTTTTGTATTTTTTTTTCTAGAGACCGGGTTTCACCATGTTGCCCAGGCTGGTCTCAAACTCTTAAGCTCAAGCCATCCACCCTCTTTGGCCTCCCAAAGTGCTGAGGTTACAGGCATGAGCTACAACACTCAGCCTCCAACCAATCTTTTAAAGTTCATGATGGGAATGGAGTTTGTCTCTGATGATTTTATGGAGCCACAGGCCAAATTTGTTAGAATACTTTCCCTCATGGGCACACCCCTCAGAAGCTCAGAATCATCCCCCAAGTAATTTTCATCCCCCTTCGTGTCCATTTACAATTAATCCTTGTTCTCACTTCCTGTCCCAGGCAACTAATGTATTTTCTGCCTCTGTAAATTTGCCTTTCCTGTACATTTCATGTAAGTGAAATCACGCCACATGAAGCCTCTTATCTTGGGCCTCTTTCACTTAGCATGTTTTTGAGGCTCATCCATGACATAGCATGTGTCATTATGTTTCATTGCTGCACAGTCTTCTACTGTATGAATTCACCACATTTTGTCTATCCATTCACCAGTTGCTAAAAATTTAAGTTATTGCCAGCTTGGGGCTATTATGTATAATGATACATAGTATTATGGATATTCATATTTAAGTGTTATGTTTGTTTTCATTTCTCCTGAGTAGATACCTAGGGGTGGAATTTTGGGTTGTATGGCAGTTTTATATTTAACTTTTTGAGAAACTGCCACGCTATTTTCCAAAGGGCTGTACCATTTTACTACATCAGCACTGTGTGAGGGTCCCCATTTCTCCACATCCTTGCCAACATTTGTTACTGCCTATCTTATTTATTATTGCCACCCTAATAGGTATAAAATGGTATATCACTGGGATTTTAATTTGCATTTTTCTAATGATTAATAATGTCGAGCATCTTTTCATATAACTACTCATAATTTGTGTATATTCTTTTTTTGTTCCGAGAGAGTCTCATTCTGTCACCCAAGCTGTAATGCAGTGGCACAATCTCAGTTCACTGCAACCTCCACCTCCCAGGTTCAAGCAACTCTCCTGCCTCAGCCTCCTGAGTAGCTGAGATTACAGGCATGCATCACTGCACCTGGCTAATTTTTATATTTTCAGTAGAGACACGGTTTTGTCATGTTAGCCAGGCTGGTCTTGAACTCCTGGCCTTAAGTCATCTGCCTGCCTCAGCCTCCTAATGTGCTGGGATTATAGGCATTAGCTACCACACCCAACCTGTGTAATTTCTTTAATGAAATGTTTGTTCATTTCTTTTGCCCATTATTTGATTGGGTTGTCTGCCTTACAATTACTGACCTGTAAGTGTTCTTCGTATATTATGAATGCAGATCCTTTATCAAATGTGTTTTGCAAATATTTCCTCCAGCCTGTTGCTTGTCTTTTAATTTTCTTAAGAGTGTCTTACCGGGCTCGGTGGCTCACGCCTATAATCCCAGCACTTTGGGAGGCTGAGGCGGGTGGATCACAAGATCGAGAGATGGAGACCATGCTGGTCAACATGGTGAAACCTTCTCTACTAAAAATACAAAAAAATTAGCTGGGCCTGGTGGCATGCGCCTGTAGTCCCAGCTACTCAGGAGGCTGAGGCAGAAGAATTGCTTGAACCTAGGAGGTGGAGGTTGCGGTGAGCCAACATCACGCCATTGCACTCCAACCTGAGTAACAAGAGCAAAACTCCGTCTCAAAAAAATAAAAAGAACGTCTTTTAAAGAGCAAGAGTTTTGAATTCTAAGTCCAATTTATCAATTTTTGCATTCATCACCTATGCTTTTAGTGCAAAAAATAAGTGGGTCAGGCTTGGTGGTTCGCACCTGTAATCCCAGCGTAATCAAGAATCACTTGAGCCCAGGAGTTCCAGACCAGCCTGGCCAACATGGAGAAACCCTGTCCCTATTAAAAATACAAAAATTAGCCGGGCACGGTGGCACATGCTTGTAGTCCCAGCTACTCAGAAGGCTGATGCAGGAGAAGCTGAGGGACAGACACTGCAGTTAGCAGAGATCACACCACTGCATTCAAGCCTGGATGAGAGACTCCATCTCAAAACAAAAACACACACACACAATAATAATCAAAAGAAATAGATCAGGCACAGTGGCTCACACCTGTCATCCTAGCACCTTGGGAGGTCAAGTCAGGAAGATTGCTTGAGGTCAGGAGTTCGGAGACCAGCCGGCCAACATGGTGAAACATGGTCTCTACTAAAAACACAAAAATTAGCTGGACATGGTGGCACATGCCTGTAATCCCAGCTTCTTGGGAGGCTGAGGCATGAGAATTGCTTGAACCTAGTAAGCAGAGGTTGCAGTGAGATGAGATCATGCCACTGCACTTCAGCCTGGGTGACAGAGCAAGACTCCGACTCAAAAAAAAAAAAAAAAAGTTGATTTTAGATGGTAGTTATCTTAAATTCCACTAATTCAAATATATCTGTAAACAAATCATATTTGTTTGGTATTACTGGTCCTGTAGAGAACGTAATGCATCAGTTGGCCTTGTTTGCAAGACTACCCAGGGCCAGTCACCTGAGTGATACCCTGTCTCAAAGCAAACAAACAAAAAACGCCTGGGCTTGGCTCTAGATTGGAGCTACAGTGAAAAATAAAGCTGAGAGCTACAAATGTCTCCTAAGTTAGAAGAAGAGTTAAGTATCAGACTAGTACATAGCAAGTGTCAGAGCTGGGATTTGGCCCAGTCTCACCGGCTTCAATCAATGGGAATTGGGAGACAAAACAGTCGCATTGTCGTTCATACCCAAATAATCCTCAAGGCATGTGGGGTGTCTGGTTTATTCAAAGTAGCTGTCAGAGGCCCAACCATGGAGCAGAAACCAAACAGTTGGGAGCTATGGGGCTAAACAGGGCAAGGATGTCCAGGTATCAGACGGTAAACAGAGAAGTCAGCTGAGCAACCAGAGCAGGCCCAGGCTGAGCAGGACAGGACAGGCCGCCCAGGGCCCAGCTCCACTCATGGCTGCAGCATAGAACCTCGCCACTTCCTCGTTGGGGTTGCCCTGGGCCGGGTCAAACCACATCTGGATGCAGCGGCCACTTCCTCGCCTGTAGTTGCTGACCTTGAAGGAGTGACTCCAGATTTCATTGCATAGATCAGTGGGTGTGGGGAAGTAGAAATGGAAAGATAGGCAGGCAGCTCCCACCGGGCACTTGTTAGACCCTGCAGAGAAGAGAGAAGACCTTTAGCCACTGCGCCCAGAACTATCTTGGGGTCTGCCAGCCCTACAACCCCAAATTGTCACATACCTCTTCCATACCCACGCACCTCCACTTCCAAATCCCTCCCTTCCTGCCCCACCCCAGCCTTCACCTGAGGTCCAATTCCAGCCCTTGTGCCAGTTGCTCTTGCAGGTGTAGGAGGTACTGCAATCTTTCCACCATTGCTCACAGTCCTCTTTGCACAGGGGCACGTCCAGTACCCGCTCTTTGCGCCAGCTCTGATCCACCTGGGAGATTTTGGTAGAAAAGAAAGGCTCAGGCACAAGAATCCCAGCAACCCAGCCCGGAATAGAACTGGAGCTGAGGATGCAGCTTGCAGAGATGCCCGGAAAGCTCAGCTCCTCTGCTAGGTCTTGTACCTGCAGGAAGCCATGTGTACCTGCTGAATCCAGGGCCCCAAGTTGGGGGAGCACTCATAGAGGCAGGTGTCCTGGATGAAATGCCGTCTGCAGGCAGGTGCCATCTCTCCGCAGTGGTTCCAGTCGAAGTTATACAGGTATGAAACATCCTTGTGGGCTTCCTGGCTGGTGTTGGTAGAACAGCAGGCATTCTTCCTCCAGGGACTACACTGGATGGGGAAAGACACATGACTCAGCCCACAGCCAGCACAGCCAGAATATTCCATATGCAATATCTCCCCTCTTCGTCCATGATTCCCCAGCCCACTGGAAGTCATCCAGGAAAATACTTGCTGTTGGGACCTCTTTAGAGGAGAGGGCCATCAGAGACTGTGGGAACCCAGAAGGGAGCTCCTGTCTGGAGTTTGTGTCATTCCAAAATTTCTTAATTCAACCTTTGAGACCCCACTTACTCTCACCCAGGTACTTCTGTAGAAACTGGGGTTACAAAAATTAACACATCACGTGATTATTGCTTTAGACAAAAATTAAGCAGGGAAGGCAGCTGGGGAATTGCAGTGTAATAGTGTGGTCAGATTAGGCCTCACTGAGGTGGCAAAGATTTGAAGGCGAAAACAATTTAAATTGTAACCTGGCCGGGCACAGTGGCTCACGCCTGTAATCCTAGCACTTTGGGAGGCCGAGGCGGGTAAATTGCCTGAGCTCAGGGTTTGAGACCACCTGGGCCACATGGTGAAACCCCGTCTCTACTAAAATATAAAAAATTAGCCAAGGAGGGCGAGCGAGGGGAGAAAAGAAAAAAAAAAAAATTAGCCAGACGGCTGTGTGCAGTGGCTCACGCCTGTAATCCCAGTGCTTTGGGAGGCTGTGGCGGGCGGATCACCAGGTCAGGAGTTGGAGACCAGCCTGACCAACATAGTGAAACCCTGTCTCTACTAAAAGTACAAAAATCAGTGTTACAGCTCTTTTAGAATTTGTCTAGCAGGTTTTCTGGGTTCTTGCCGGAAAGTCAAAAAAAAAAAAAAAATCAGCCAGGTGTGGTGGCATGCACCTGTAATCCGAGCTACTGGGGATGCAGTTTTGTTTCTAACTAGCTGCCTCACCCATTATTTGTTCCTGGTATTTGTGATACAGAAAACAATGTATAGCCAATCAATTGCTCATTATTTTATTATAAATTCTCGATAAACAGGAACTACTCTTTTTCCTTAAAAACTAACTTGTGACTGCTGTGAAATTCGGGACAACTTGAATCTATGCTTCTATGTGGCTATCTTCGAGCTTTCTGAATCTCATTTCTTAAGGCTGATAAGCTAAATATTAAAACGTGAGCCGTGTACGGTGGCTCACATCTGTAATCCCAGCACTTTGGGAGGTGGAGGCGTGCAGATCACTTGAGGTCAAGAATTGAGACCAACATGGCAAAACCCCATTTCTACTAAAAACACAAAAATTAGCTGGGTGTGATGGTGGCTGCCTGTAATTGCAGCTACTCTGGAGGCTGAAGCAGGGGAATTGCTTGAACCCTGGAGGCAGAAGTTGCAGCGAGCTGAGATTGCACCACTGCAATCCAGCCTGTGTGACAAAGCAAAACTCCATCTCAAAAAAATAAATAAATAAAATGTGCACTTAAGGCCGGGCACAGGGGCTCACACCTGTAATCCCAGTACTTTGGGAGGCTGAGGGGGGCAGATCACATGGTGAGGAGTTCGAGACCAGCCTGGCCAACATGGTGAAAACCATCTCTACTAAAAAAAAAAAAATTAGCTGGGTGTGGTGGCTTGTGCCTACACAGGAGGCTGAGGCAGGAGAAGCACTTGAAGCCGGGAGGCGGAGGTGAGATCGTGCCACTGCACTCCAGCCTGGGCAACAAGAACTCCATTCTCAAAGAAAACCAAAAACCAAAAAACAAAAAAATGAAATGTATACACGAATTACCTTCCTTTCCTTTCCTTCTTTCCTTCCCTTCCTTCCTTCCTTCCTTTCTGACAGGGTCTCACTCTGTTGCCCAGGCTGGAGTGCAGTGGCTCAATCTGCCTCCTGGGCTCAATTGATCTTCCCACCTCAGCCTCCTGAGTAGCTGGGACTACAGCCACGTGCCACCACACCTGACTAATTTTTTGTATTTTTAGTAGAGATGGGTTTTTGCCACCTTGCCTAGGCTGGTCTTGAACTCCTGAGCGCAAGTGATCCCCCCACCTCAGCTTCCCACAGTGTTGGAATTACAGGCTACCTGGCCTACAAATTACTTTCTCTCTGTTTTTTCTTTAGTTTTATCATCATGTTCAGGACATCCCAGCCCAAAGTTTTACTAGATGCATGAACCAAGATGCTTCAGGCAGGAACATGGCTCATTTCTGTAATCCTACACTTCGGGAGGCCGAGGTGGGAGGATTACTTGGGTTCAGGAGTTTAAGACTAGCCTGTGCAACATATGGAGACCTCTCTCAGAAAAAAAAAGAATTCTTTGTACCCAGCCTCATAACTGTGAGATGGCCAGGAGCGGTGGCTCATGCTTGTAATCCCAGCACTTTGGGAGGCCAAGGCAAGGGGATCACAAGGTCAGGAGTTTGAGACCAGCCTGGCCAACACAGTGAAACCCCGTCTCTACTAAAAATACAAAAATTAGCCATGCGTGGTGGCAGGCGCCTGTAGTCCCAGCTACTGTGAGAATCGCTTGAACCTGGGAGGCAGAGGTTGCAGTCAGCCAGATAGAACCGCTGCACTCCAGCCTGGGGGACAGAGTGAGAGACTCCATCTCAAAACACAAACAAGCCGGGCGTGGTGGCTCATGCCTGTAATCCCAGCACTTTGGGAGGGGAGGTGGGTGGATCAAAAGATCAGGAGTTCAACACCAGCCTGGCCAAGATGGTGGAACCCTGTCTCTACTAAAAAACAAACCAATCAACCAACAAAAACTGTGAGAGACTCTCCTTTCTTGAGCTGTTTAGGGCAAGCAGAGAAGAAGTCACTATGTACAGTATGCAGTTTCTTCTCTCAGAGCCTTGGAGGAGTCATTCCTGGGTTAAACTCCTAAATCAAGCAACCACAGGATGGGTCTCTCCAACTCCATTTCCAGGCACCCCTCTGGGCCTGCTTCCTTCTTTGTGTAATGCGGAAACTCAACAACCAAGAAGGCGAGCTGTTGGCATTGTACCGACATTTGGCACACAGTGTCTGTGAAATAGTCTCCTGTATTAATAGAAATGGAAGCGATCCTCTGGGGGGTCTGTCTGCCTTCATCAGTGAATGGGGTTTGATAGTTCCATGTCCTAATTTCCTCTTCCTGAGCCAGTCCCTCACCACCCCAGATCACCCCCTGGCCCACCTGCTCATGCAGCTTGTCCTCGGGGCCTGGCTTTTCCTTGTGGTGCTTGGCATCCATGCAGACATTGAGAAGTTCAGTCCTGGCCCGCACAGTTGGTGTCCGGGCCCCCCCTACTGCAGCCACCCAAGCTAGAAGGAGCAGCAGCTGTATTGTTATCCGCTGAGCCATGTCTGTCCCTGAAGGAAGAGCTGTGGTAAATGGCACCAAGGAATGCAGAGGTGGGGCCTTAATTTGTGGGCAGGGCTCCAGGAGGGTGGGGCCTCGACTGAAGCCCTGCCCCCAATTTCCCTCAGTCTTCCCAGATCCAATGAGAGGTGGGATTAGATACCACCCCTCCCTGGCTTGAGCCTCTCCCTTATCCAGGTGGTCGAGAAGTTCAAGTGATATAATTAAAGGATGGATTTGGGCAAAATGCAGAAATAGCCAGGAGTTTGCCATAGGTCCACAATGCCATTCAAATGTTTCAGAGTTAAAATTTTTTATGATTTCATAAAAGGTGATACAAAGATAATATAATTTCCATATACCCCATAATCTAGTGCATATTCTGGGATGAAACAGTTACATTGGTGGGATAAATTAAAACTATACATAACCTCACATTAATTTTCAGGTCAGATTTTGATACCAAATCACTTTGTTGTAAAAGTTTACAAAAATGGACTGGGTGCAGTGTAACGTGAGCACTTTGGGAGGCCGAGGCGGGTAGATCGCCTGATGTCAGGAGTTTGAGACCAGCCTGGTCAACAAAGTGAAACCCCATCTCTACTAAAAGTACGAAATTAGCTGGGCATGGTATTGTGTGCCTGCAATCCCAGCTACTAGGGAGGATGAGGCAGGAGAATCGCTTGAACCCAGGAGGCGGAGGTTACAGTGAGCCAAGATCGCACTGCTGCACTCCAGCCTGGGTGACAGAGCGAGACTCTCTCAAAAAAAAAAAAAAAAGTTGACAAAAATGTTTCAGTGGGGGGGCTGCAGTGTGGTTTTTTTGTTAGTTTGTTTTGGGGTGTGTGTGTGTGTGTGTGACAGAGTTTCACTCTTGTCACCCAGGCTGGAGTGCAATGGCACAATCTTGGCTCATTGCAACCTCTGCCTCCCGGGTTCAAGCAATTCTCCTGCCTCAGCCTGTTGAGTAGCTGGGACTACAGGCATGTGCCACCTCGCCTGGCTAATTTTGTATTTTTAGTTGAGACAAGGTTTCTCCCATTGGTCAGACTGATCTCAAACTCCCTACCTGAGGTGATCTGCCCACCTCAGCCTCCCAAAGTGCTGGAATTACAGGTATGAGCCGCCACACCTGGCTTTGTTTTGCTTTTTAAGCCTTGGTTCCAGCCCTTTCTAGCCTCATTACTTGGGCTAATTTAGTAAGCCCCTCCTGGAAACCATGGGATCTGGGGGGTAGGGGAGATGTGTCACAGGGCACAGGCTGGCAGGGGGCAGCCAGCTAGACAGCCCTGGGGCCTTGGGGAGCTCCTGAGCCCCTACCACAGAGCTGGCTTCTCCCTGGTCATCATAGAACTTCAATCCTTTGACCTCAGACACTGAATTTTGGGAGGTGACTGTTTCCTTCTCTCCACTGGTGAACTGTTGTCTGGGCTCTCCTAAAATGCTCAGAATTTATTTCCTGTGACTTCTCTCCATCTGTCTCCTTCTAACCCATTTTCCACATACCAGTTCCTAAAGTGGACAGGTCCTTCCCGCTCACAAGCTTGCCTTGGCCCCATGTTGCCCCTCCTCTCCTCTTGACAGGCGTTCCTTTTCAGGTCAGATTTTGACACCAAAATACTTCACTGTAAAACACTTTCTAGGGCTCTAGGCAGGGCCTGAGCTGGGCCTTGCACAGCAGGGTTCAGAGAAGCCTGGAGTTGGATTCCCACCCAGCAGCTCTTTCTCCTTCCTGCTCTAGAATCCATTATTCTGCTACTCTAGTGATATTCTAGTGTTCATTCATTCTCTCATGGTTGATTCATTCATTCCAGGACCCAATCATGCCTCTGTGGACCCACTCACTCACTAATCTGGACAGGAGGCCAGAGAAATCTGTGCTGTCAGGAAACACCAGGTGATCCTTTGGGTTCAGTTCCCAGGGAAACAAAACCTAACAGTTTAGGACACAAGGGTTCCCGCTCAGCCTGTCCCGACCCCAGCCCTCACTCCACCTTCTCCTTGGCCTTGAGGGAGAGAAGCAAACTTTGAGGCTTAGCTTTCTTCTGCAAGGATTAAATATAGGAAGGGGAAATCAACAAATGATAGCCAGTTTAATCTTTGCAGAATCAGTTGAGTACAGATTGAGGGCCGTCCCAAGTCACACAGCAGGGACCACCTAAGTCCAGGTCACAGTTCTTTTGCTTTTGCCCCCTGCACCTTCACAGTGCTGGGGTCTCATGGGGGCGACCAACACACAGTGCTGGGGATGGGGGCTGGGAAAATACTTTCCCCAGCCCCAGGGGAGGCTACCTGTTCAGTCAGTAGTCTCTCTTGCTGTGGCTGCTTTTGAAGCCAGGCTCTCTTCCTGTCCTTGTGACCTGCGTCACTCTGCAAGCCCCCTTCCCACCTTCCTTGTCTCACCTTCAGGTCTTGGTCCAGTTATGACCGCCCCCGCAACTATCATGACCTCCACTCCCAACCTTGGAGCCTCAGACTAGGAAAGCGGAGAACTCAGTGCTGGACTGCAGGGCTAGAGCCCAGGTACTAGTTCAAGGGGATGGACACTAACTTGTCGTTTAACCTTGGGCAGGCCACGCTCTGGTCTGGGCCTCAGTCTCCACTTCAAGACACTCTGGGCTTTAGTTAAACAGAGGGCCCTTCCAGTTCAGCAAATCCTTAACACATGCTGGGAGTACCATAGGGTGTGTGGCCTCTGGAGGGATATGGGGAGTGTCATACCTGGGAGAGGAGGTGGCTCTGGGTCTGGCTTAGGCTTCTGCTCTGCTCTCCACTCCCCCTTGCCTTATTCCAGGGGACAGCTGTGGTTTAGTGGCCTAGGAGACGGGCAGTGGGGCAGGGAGTGGGAATGGAGCCCAGGAGTGGAGCCTGGGATTGGGCGAAGGCCACTCAGCAGTTAATTATTGCATGTGAGCACCAGCCAGGCCTCCATAAGGGAGTGGGAGGGGGTGAATTAACAGTGCAGGCCTCAGGCCAGCCCCTAAGCTCCACCTACCCCATTTTCTCCCAAAAGCTCAGGTCTGAAAAAAACCTTGCAGCCTGAGCTGCTGGGATCCTTTGAGCTAATCTCATCAGTTTGCAACTCCTGTCCTATTACACAGATGAGGAAAATGAGATCTGGAGGATCAAGGCATGTGGGTCAAGATGGCCAGGGGGAGACCTATGTTAATTCCAGCCAAATAATTATAAACTTGCTTGGCTCAGAGTACACTGAAGTTTATACACTGAACTAAACTATATTATTGGTGCAGTCAATTAGAAATCAAGCGGCAACAGGAGGCCTAAGGTAAAGACCATCCGAGAGCTCAGTGACACCGGGGAACACCTCAGGGTGGCTGCAGAGCAGGGAATACTACTCTGGTCCCACAAATGCCTTCTCAACATGGAGACTGCATGAGGGCCTCGTAAAGAGGGCTTATGCAAAGATCTCTGAGAAGGGAGGTGACCTCTGCTCACAAGATCCGGAGGGTCTTTGCAGATGGCAGCTGGCAAGAAGAAAGGCCTTGCAGGGCAGAGATCACAGAACACCTCAGGCTCTGCCTACGTTCTTGGAATATGGAGTGATTTTAATTGCCCTATGTCCTCAACCCTTGGGAGATAAAAGCCCCTTGATACTTTGGGTGTGGTCAGATGGGTGGCTCCTAATCCGCTATCCTAATCCGATCAGGTATTGATCGATTTACCACCTATGCAACTTACGACCATTCGACTTTACGACCACAATCGCTAGCCACGACTGCTCCGCGTCTGGCAGCGCAAACGTCTCCCAGCTGGGTGTACGACGATGCGGACCAGCTTCCGGCAGCACTACCATCTCCGCGTGCACCATTTCAACTGTACATATAGCCTACTCAACTTACGACCAAATCGTGTTACGACCGGTCCGCGGTCCCGACCCTGGTCGTAAGTCGAGCACTAGCTGTCCTTCTGATGCAGCCTCACGCTGATAACAATGGGTGATAAACTCAAGTGTACTAGTTTAGTATGTCTTAGAAGGATCTCCAGTGCTGTTGAAAACTCAGAGCACTAGATTAGCATGTCTTAGAAGGATCTCAAGCGCTCTCCACCCGGCTATCTTACTCCTTTATCCTCCCTTTCCACGCTGGTAAGATCAGTGAGAATGCGCACATAATAAAAGTGTTTGGAGCCCAGATCTGGGGCCAATATGGTTCCGGAGCTTGCATTGGTCCCCTGGACCCATGCTGTAAATTCTACTCTTGTGTCTCTGTCTCAATCCCTCGTCACCACCGGGACTAAGGGCACCCACATACGGGGTTGGGCTGGTTCCCAAAGGGCAGAGCCAATTTCAGGGCAACCACTAGAGCCCAGGCTTCCAACCTCCCAGTCAGCGATAGAAAACAAGGATTTCCCACGGCCATAAATTGTAGAGCCACCAACTCCCACAACCTCATTAGCCCAGATGTCACTTACTGCCAGCCACAAAATCACAGATATTCTGAATCTTTTGATCAGATCCCTCAGTTGTTTGAAGGTCCAAGCTCTCCTTTCATCCCCAACTCACTGACCCCCTCCCCCAACTCAGGTATCCTTTCTACAGCACCTATGATCCTGGGCTAATTTACTCTTCCCCCCATCCCCACCCAGACCATGACAGAAGTCATTTTTGTTTTATTTTTTGTTTTGTTTTGTTTTTTGCCCTGCTCCCCCCCTGACAGAAGTCATTTTTTAAATTCTCTGAGCTCATGGTGATACCACTGATGAGAAAAAGGAGAGGGAGGGGCAGGTTTGGGCAGGATGCAACACAGAACAGTTTTGTCGGGATGCCTGTCTGCTCTTGGCCCAGAGGGAGGTTGTTGTAGAGGGAAATGCTCAGGGGAGGAGTCCAGGTTGGATGCAGATGTGGGAGCCATCAGCCTATGGGTGGCAGTAAGTGTAGGGAAGATGGGGGCCCAGTATCTGGGCAATGCCGCAGGTCTGGACCCAAGGAGGAGGCAGGCAGGGGAGCCTGAGGAGACAGTGGGATCTCTGGAGGAAAATCAACCAAGAAGGAAGGCCCTGGCTGGGCGCAGTGGCCCACGCCTGTAATCCCAGCACTTTGAGAGGCTGAGGCGGGCAGATCACCTGAGTGATCAAGGAGTTCAAGACCAGCCTGGCCAACGTGGTAAAACACCATCTCTAGTAAAAATACAAAAATTAGCCGGGTGTGGTGGCAGGTGGATGTAATCCCAGCTACTTGGGAAGCCTAGGCAGGAGAATTGCTTGAACCTGGAAAGCATAGCATCAGGCGCCTGTAATTCCAGCTACTCGGGAGGCTGAGGCAGGAGAATCTCTTGAACCCGGGAGGCAGGGGTTGCAGTGAGCCAAGATCGAGCCACTGCACTCCAGCCTGGGTAACAGGAGTGAAACTGTCTTTAAAAAAAGAAGGAAGGCCCTCTAGGGCCTGCAAAGAGACCAACTCCCAGGAGATCCCAGCTTGTGTCCTGCAACAGTGAGCCACACCTGAATCTTGTGACAACCTAGGAAGTATCAACTTAAAATCACCAGATACATAATTTGAAAACAATATGATTTCTTATGCTGGGTTGCAACCTCCAGGCTGGTAAGTGGAGCCTTTGGCTGAGACCAAAAGCAGGCAATTTGAGGGAGGAAGGGTGGGACAGGAGTTTTATGCAAAATGGGTTGGCTAGCATACATATTAATAGGTTATAGGAGAAGTTGTGAATATTGATGAAAGGGAGTCACACACGTGTGTACTAAGCAAACATCCTGTGTTCACTTTGGAGTTGAGACTTAACATTAATTTTTTTATTTTTTCATATTTATTTATTTATTTTTATTTATTTATTTGAGATAGAGTCTTGCCCTGTTGCTGAGGCTAGAGTACAGTGGCACGATCTCAGTGATCTGCAACCTCCACCTCCTGGTTGAAGAGATTCTCCTGCCTCAGCCTCCTGAGTAGCTGGAATTACAGGCACCTGACACTATGACACTATACCCAGCTAATTTTTGTATTTCTAGTAAAGATAGGGTTTCACCATGTTGGCCAGCCTGGTCTCAAGCTCCTGACCTCAAGTGATCTGCCTGCCTCAGCCTCCCAAAGTGCTAGGATTACAGGTATAAGCCACCACGCCGACTTTTTTGTTTTTTTAAAAAACAGAATCTCACTCTATCACCCAGGCTAGAGTGCAGTGTCATGCTCAGCTCACTGCAAACTCCACCTTGTGGGTTCAAGTGATTCTTCTGCCTCAGCCTCCATAGTAGCTAGGATTACAGGTGTGCACCACCACACCAACCTATTTTTTTTGTATTATTTCGTAGTAGAGACTGGGTTTCACTATGTTGTCCAGGCTTGTTTCAAACTCCCGGTCTCAAGTGATCTGCCCACCTTGGCCTTCCAAAGTGCTGGGGTTACAGGCACAAACCACGGCACCCAGCCTATTTATATTTTTATTTAAAAATAGAGACAGAAGGCTGGGCATGATGGCTCATGCCTATAATCCCAGCACTCTGGGAGGCAGAGGAGGGCAGATCACCTGCTGTCAGAAGTTCGAAACCATCCTGGCCAACATGGCAAAACTCCATCTCTACTAAAAATACAAAAATTTGCTGGGCATGGTGGTGCATGCCTGTAATCCCAGCTACCAGTGGGGGCTGAGGCAGCAGAGTCCCTTGAACCCAGGAGGCAGAGGTTTCAGTGAGCCGTGATTGCACCACTGCACTCCAGCTTGGGCAACAATGCGTGGGTCTGTCTCAAAAAAAAAAAAAAAAAAGGAGAGAGAGAAAGAGAGAGAGAGAAAGAGAGACAGGGTCTCACTGTATTGCCCAGGCTGGGCTTAAACTCCTAGGCTCAAGCAATTCTCCCACCTTAGCCTCCCAAAGCGCTAGGATTGCAAGCACAGCCAAGACTTAACGTTAAAATGCAGACTTAGTCTGTATACCTCAAAAGGCGAACATTATTATGGCCAAAACATTTACAATAAAAAATAAATAAATAAAATAAAGTAAAAAAGGCGGAACATAGGACGCAAAGACACTTTGAGTGCAGCCTCTGTAAATTGGCCAGAACCAGCCCATGGTTGATAGGAATTGATCAGGAAGGAATGTTTTGTGAGCTGGTCAGCTGTCATATCAAAATCACAAAAAGAGGCTGGGCTCAGTGGCTCATGCCTACAATCCCAGCACTTTGGGAGGCCAAGGCAGGCAGATCTCTTGAGCCCAGGAGTTTGCGACCAGCCTGGCAAAATGGCAAAACTAGGAATACGGCAAAACTCTGTCTCTACAAAAAAATACAAAAATAAGTTAGGCATGGTGGTGTGTGCCTGTAGTCCCAGGTTCTCAGGAGACTGAGGTGGGAAGATCGCTTGAACCCAGGAAGCAGAGGCTGTAGTGAGCCGAGACTGTGCCATTGCACTCCAGCCTGGGTGACAGAGCCAGACCCTGTCTCAAAAAAAACAAAACAAAACAAAAACCCATGCATAAAAGAGGGACATCTAGCCACAGCATCAGGTGGTTGAAGTTGAAATCAGCAGAGGAGTCTTCCATCTGTTCTCCAGGATTGGTTTCTGCTTAACTCTTAGAAAAAAAGCCTGGTAACAGAAAGGAAGACGGTGTACTGGGGTTTGACACGTCTCCTGCCTTATCATAGCCAGGAAACTTAGATTTTGAAGTTTTTTTGGGGTCTCCTCGGCCAAGAGGCGTTTATTCAGTCAGTTAAGGGGGCTTTGGATTTTCTTTTTCTTTTCTTTTTTTTTTTTTTTTTTTTTTTTTTTTTTTTTTTTTTTTTTTTTTTTTTTTTTTTTGAGAAGGAGTCTCACTCTGCTGCCCAGGCTGGAGTGCAATGGCGCCATCTTGGCTCACTGCAACCTCCGCCTCCCAAGTTCAAGCGATTCTCCTCCCTCAGCCTCCTGAGTAGTTGGGACTACAGGCACACACCACCACACCTGGCTAATTTTTGTATATTTAGTA